TTATTTGTCCAGCGGATAACTACTGGAACATAATGCTTCACTAGCACACTGCCATTTCACTCTCTTCTCTCTAGTCTGGCTACACCTGGCTCCACTATTACTCGTCACCTTCATTTATTCCTCACGCCACCGCCTTCATGTATACTTCGGACGCCCAACTCATCGTTTCGCATTCGGGTCCAACTCGACGGCCTCACCTGACGCTCTGTTCGGTGCACGTCCAATCCAATCCATCTCCACTTTATTCTTCTCCATACTTGTTGGCCCATAGCTTACTGGTTGGCTGGTTCGTTGTCAGTCACAGTGACTTCCTTGTTGCTTATTCTTATTATTCTGGCCATCTGATCTTCAGTGTCAGTATGGAGTGAGCGTAGACGGCAGCTGTTGTTGATGTATGTGTGCAGTTTGTTGGAAATGCTTCCCGTAACGTGCCAAGTCCGTGAACCATGACATGGAAGCAGTGACTTGCATGACTAACTTTGTGCTGAAAATCTGCATCTTGTTCATTCTTTATCCTGAGTGCAGCAGAGTATAGTGCAGTGCAATAGATGTCCACACCAATTTCAGATTAATGAAAGCCTGACTTGCTGTCTTTTCCATGCGAGCTTTCACGCATTCATCTGTGCCTATACCGCCCGTAGTTGAAATGATGCTGCTTGGGTAGGTGAAAGAGACTACTTCCTTAACATTTCTCCTGTACACTGTGACTGGTGTTTGTTGTTCTTGTTGGTTGGGTGCACTCATCACCTCTGTCTTCTCTACGTTCACCTGAAGGGAGTGCCGTCCTCACTACCCTACCTTGCGTTTCGAGCTTATGTGACATGACACAGCCATAAATCATCATCGTTGGCGAAATCCAAATCATTTAGGGTCTTTTCATCTGTTCAGCATATGCTCACCTTCTCGCTCCCCACGCTTTCTTGTATGATCCTGTCCAGTTCAGCAGAGTAGAACACAATCAGGAAGATGATCGGTGATAGTAGGCAAGTTAGTCTCGTCTTACTCCTGTCTTCACTTCCCTTCAAAGGCGTCACTGAGCTCTCCATTGTGAATCACTCCTCATATAGCTGTTGAACGAGGTTGATAAGGGTTTGCGATACTCCATAGTGTTGAAGCACTTCTCAAATTACTTCTCAGTCCACACTGTCAAAGGTTTTCTCAAGATCGATGAAGTTGAGGTAGATAGTTGACAGCCATTCCCTTCTCTATTCTATGATGATATGCAGCGTAGCGTCGCAACTTGATCCACATATGATTTGTACTTCCTAAAGCCAGCCAGCCTATTCCGGTAGTAATTTTGAATCCAGCGCATCTTTTAGTCTCTACAGCATAATGTGGCTTAACATTTTGCTTGTTGTAGACAGCAGCATGATTCCACGCCAGTTCATGGGAGTACGGCTTGGGTTGTCCTTCCCTGGGAGTTCGACATGGTAGCCCTTCTTCCAGTCGGCAGGTATCTTTCCTTCCTCCCTCGCAAACCTTCTTCTCCGCGTCTGCTCTCAGTGCTTCTGGAGGACTTTCATCTGGTTCTGTTGCCTTCCTGGATTTCAGTGGCTTAATGACTTGACTTCCACTATTTCACTTTTGCTTTTGTCGAAAGGTTTCTGTTCACCGACGGTTCTGTGGCTGGGCTGCTGGTGGTATTTCTGGACGAGTTCCCGGTAGTCGGGGTGGTCAAGTCGGGAGCTTTTTAAGTGGTCAGCTCATCGTTTCCTCTTTTCGCTTCTCTGGTAACTAGGTGTCCTTCACTACCTTTCATTGTTTATTTGATGTAATGTTGCCAGGTTACTGTTTTTTCTACCTGCAGCCTGTTCTGCCTCACTTCCAAGTGTGTCATGGAAGTGTCTTTTGTCTTTACGCATGCTCTTCTTCAGTTCTTTGTCCAGTGTAGTGTCTTACAACTTGTACTCAGTTCCTCTTTTCGTTGTTCGTCCCTGCACTGCATTTGTTCATCTTCTGCTTTACCGTCTTCCTCTCCCTGCTCTGTCGGCTTCCTTGTGTCCGTCAGGATCCATTCCTTGTCCAGCTTTTTCTTCCTCCTTTCTAACACGGTTGTGGAGGTTTCTTACCACATGACTTTCAAAGGGTTTCAGTGTTCTTCCACACACGTTTCTTCAGGGACGATGACTAATGTCTCCAATTTTGTCCTGATTGCCGACGTGAAGATGACCCTTGTGGTTTCGTGCTTCAGGTTCTGTTCTGGGTGTTCAACTTGAGCTGTGGTCTGTCACCAGGTGATGAAGATACCCAGCCAACAGCAGCAAGCACCAGTCACCATGAACGGGAGAAATCCAGAACGAAGTCGACTCCTATACCCACCTACCTACCCACCTGCCTACCTACCTGCGTACCTACCTACTCACCTACCTGCCTACCTGCCTACCTACCTACCTGCCTACCTACCTACCTACCTACCTACCTACCTACCTACCTACCCGGGCAGTATCGTCTCATCTACAGGCGGCACAGGCACAGATGTTGATGTCAAGGCGAGGACCTGGGGGACAGCAGGGAAAACCGGGCCTTTTGTTAATTTGAAATCAGTCGGTGTGAATATCCTCTGCACTGTACCGCACTCAGCATAAAGCGTAAAAAACATCTGGGTTTCCAACTCTTATCCAGTCAAGTCAGTGCTTCCATGTGATGGTTCACAGACTTGGCACACCACAAATAGCATTTCCAACAAACTACAGACATTCATCAACAGCTACCTACCCTCGCTCGTTACTGGAGACCAGATGATCAGAAATAGTAAGCAACAGGGCACTCTTGGAACGAATCAACCAGAGGCCTATCGCCCAAGAGGTAAGCAGAAGAGAGTGGAGATGGATTGGCCATACACTGTGAAACCCGATTGGCGACATCACGCACCAGGCCATGCCGTTGGGTGGAATCCAAAGGGGAACCGACGGGTTGGGAGTGCGAAGATTACATGGAAATCAGGTGGGGAAGAAATGAGAGCTTGTCAGCAGTCGTGGAGTCAGGTGGAGCTAGACTGTAGAGGACATAGTACGATGAATATGTGCTACTGATTTCCTGTGTTCCACTAGGAACCCAAGGGAAGACCAGTGATAATTATTATAACTATTATGTTGCAGAGAAATGCCCACAGCCTCATCAATGTAACTGACAACCTGAAGATGGTTTAACTTATGGGATGATGCTGGAGACAGTCAACTCAATAGGATTTATCTTCTTACCTCAGCATAAAAAGTTTTTATTACGCATGTCTATCATTGGATCGAAGATTTTATCATATGAATTTTTCAAACACTCTTACAATGGTTGTTATGAGGAAGGAAAATAACGATCAACCAAACAATCAGTAATTTGGCCTTTATATGCTGTTCGATGCAATTAGCTAAGCATTCGACGGTTTTAGTGGTTGCTAGGAATCTATTAGGTTTATAGATGACTCCGTATATGTTTGAGTTATTTACACCAATCGGTCAGTAGTTGGGCAAACTAGCAAACGATTTCCGATGGCTTACAAATGGAGGCCTTTTCATTTATTGCATTCTTATCATTACCAAACATTATTCAGATAAACGATGCTAAGGAAAAAGGCTAAACTGATTATTCAATCAGAAATTCATGCGTACACATTTATAGTGACTGATTTAAATGGAAGAAGAATCTTGGTTGCTAAGACATAGTCTATGAGTAATCCAACTAAACAAAATAACAAGGTAAATGGAATAGGTGCTTGTCTCTTTATCTTTACTTAAGGTAGTTAGTTACCACCACAATTAACTGAACATCTTCTAATTTCTTCTTTCAGTAGTGTCTGTGTCTAGAAGAATCCACTGAACTCTCTGTCTACCGGTTTGAATAAAGATGATTGTATACCACTAATGCTATGCAATATATTTAAATGGTGTTACTAGATGAGGAAAATGATTGGTTACCATTGGCAAATGCGCAGCTGCTCGGAAGCCTTGAGGCAGGTTCATCCATTGGAACATATGCCATGAATACCACTGGTAAATAGGTATTTGTTTTTTTCGGTTACCATGGTATACTAAACAGATGAATGTTTGTTTCTTCAAAAATACTCATCAGATCTTTGTCAAATTCTAATTTCTTTCCCATCAAATTACAGATCAACTCTGATTTCAACAGAAATTTTAATCAGATACATTTTTTTTCCACATAATTTTACTAATCACTTTCGTTTTGTGCACAGAGATCAGTTATAGAACAATTGAGATATTGGAAGCATTAGAGAAATGTTTCCTCCCGGTGTAGGAATCCTCAAAAGTCTCATTGAAAATGGAACTCAGAACTTTGAGATTTCAAGGTGGATAGTTACAGAATGTAGCGAACTAACTGAAGTAAGAAACTGTAGATGACTGAATTCTACCCCAGAGGCAGAAATTTGAATTCGTTCATGGTTAGGACAAAATGTTCTGAGTTCACTTCCTGTTAGGATCTTGGATGTGTATTACTGATGAGTCCCACACCAGGATAAAACAGTTATTCTATGCTCCAAAGTTTTCAGTGGCTCTCTTCCAATTGATGTCAGTCCGTGATGAATATCACCCGTTCAAAATAAAATCTCCATAAACTTCAAACGATATTCCCATTAATTCGACCCCTAACTTGAAATTGGTGGGGTTGAGAAACTCTAGATAAGTATCAGACACTTTAGAAGTGTACACTATTGATGTAAAAATAAATCGAACTCATTACCCTTGAGTAATGTGGTTAGCAGATAGACAATTAACTATTCAATAACGATCCAACGCCATTTGAATATATCCTGTGTAGACTCAGAATATGCAGTTTCAACTGATCTGCATTATAAAAGTGGGAATGATGTCGAATGATGTCAACTTGTGAATATTCGTCCAGTTATTACGAAATCATAATGTTATACGTGAAAAATGTTGGGAAGATGTAATTTCTATTTAAAAATTTGTGTTATTCTAGTTTAACTACTTGCAAATAGAATAGTAGACAAATTGTTTTCGGGAGAATTTTGTCCCAGATTACCAACGATGCAGTGGCTATCAACAATTTTAATGAGTGTTTCCAATTTAAATGAACCTAGAAACCAGCTACAACGCATAGAAGTTACAGGAATGGTAACTGTAAGTGCGTTTTCATGAGACAAGAGTTTGGTTTAAGGCTGCAGAGTGAATTTTCGACAAACTTAGTCTAGACTATCCACTTTCAGTTGTACAGATCGACACACCTACACCTGGCTACTTGTTCATGAGCTTTAAACTAGGACTTTTAGAGCAGAAATATCGTATTGTTCTTATGAAATTCATAGTATTCAGCTTTAAAGATCAGGTATTTGGATGTCATTCATTCTTACTTCATGTTTGTTGGTCAGGGGGGGGGCGGGCAGATGAAACAACTGAAAAGATTCTTTTGAAGACTGGCTACTCAAAATCTTATTGTTACCTTCCTGCAGTTTGAAAAGACCCCTCAATGAGTATTTGGAAGTAGTAATTGACAAAGAATCATCACTGGTCGATGTTCAATCACTACGAAGTATGAAAACTACAACTATTCTCCAACCATCCATTTGACTTTGTTATTTTTTGAGGTGTCAGTCAAAACTTGGGCAACCGTATTGTTGGCCAGCTTCTCGTGGTATCATAAAACATTGTAACATCTGCACAATGTTCACAAAACATGCTGACAATTTCCAGTTATATTTATCTTATACAAGAAGGTCACTATGGCCAGTAACTCCTTCTTAAAATTGTGTATAGGTCAGTATTTGTCTTCTGATCCTCATGCTTGAATAAAAGAACAGATTCTGACAAAGAAATTTGGCTATTCGCTTCCAGCCTGAATATCTTACTGTATTAGTAGAGTTTCTCATATTTCGTATTATTTTGTCAGTCACTTCCACTCGGTCACTTCAAAGGCCATGCATTGGAGCGTCGTCATAAGTCCTGAAACTTGTGCTTGCTATTTGAATCCCCTAATTATTACACTAAAATAGTGTTCAAATCTTCCATTCTTTTATATTCAGTTTGCGATTTTATTTAATTACCGCAACGTTTTGTGCTTTGCAAACTATACTACTTTCAACTATTAAGTAGCGTCATTCGTCTTTCTGATATTTTGTAGGTATCACGATGTCGATTGATTTCAGGGTCTGATATCAGTTGAAGAGCCATTAAAAACCTACGAGAACTGGGAAGCTGTTTCATCTCCAGTGATCAAAACCAATGATCGCCAAGTTTTCCTAATTTGACATTACTATTGAGTTGGCGCACCGAAATCTAATCGTCTACAGTTTCCAACTTCTCCATATGGATTGGTGATATAGAGCAACTTTCAGCCAATGGGATCGTTGATTATGTATCCAGCGTCATAACTTAGCATTAGAAAAGGGTTCAGTAAGTCTCACTTCTCTCAGAGTATGTCAGTAAATAGCATTAGAGAGTTAAGTAGTTCAGGTCCCCTGGCTGCCATGGTGAGGATATGAATGCACACACAGGAGTCCCACAGTAGGACGAAGCAACTATCCAGGGGTTCCACCGACTGATGTCATTCGTTGAGGGATATCAACATGAGATCAGTAAATCGTCCGGAAACTTTCAAAATGAAATACTTAACAGAATTTGACTCGATGATAAGAATCTTGGCGCCAGACTCTACAATCCTCAGCTAGATGGGCTATGTGTTCCCCAGTGTTAACTATCAAGCAGTCGGTTGCAAAGTAAGAAAAAACAGCTGTTCAGTATTCACAGGTTCTCAACGTTTCGCTAATCGTTATGAATTGTCAGTGAAAACTTTCTTGAAATTAGGTCATCCGTACAGATGATTAACTGAATTTTGATATTCTTGTGAAAACTAGATCCGAGAAACTAGTACAATTCATGTAGCCATCTTAGTTTAGTCAATATTGATAAATATTGAGTTTTATGAGTTTCAGAAGGTATTCATAAGTACAATTCTGGTTTTTCATCTTCTCTTCTTCCCACTTTATTAGTATGTTATAGAGTGAAACAAGTGACATTTATTTTTCATCTTCTCTCTTAGCTGTTGCCAATCAATTGAAGTATGATTAGAAGCATCCATATTCTTGAAACTGACCATTCTATGTAAGACAATTTTGAATACCTTCAGTGTTTGCTGTTTTCCTCACCTTCTGTGTACAGCTGTGTTATTCAGATCTTCTGTTCGGTGGATTCAACCACGGACAACTGTATACTACACTAAATAGGCAAAGAATGCCTATCCTAATATAGTAGCCCTTATGGATAAACTTCTCTGACTGGGACGGATGGGTACTGGGTTCAAAAGTGTGCTGAAATAAACAAAAGTGAATAAGTTTTTAGTCACTTCTTCAAGACGGAGAATGAATTCAATTGTATCTGTTGGATAAATATTCAGTTGCTTAATTCACTCAACTTCTCAAAATTTTCATCTGTAAACGAAGTTATCTCTTTCGGCAACCTAAACAGCATCATTTCAACTACAGGCAGCAGAGGCACAGATAAGCATGTCATAGCTTGCATCGGAAAGACAGCAAGTCAGGCCTTCATGTAGTAATCTGTAACCAGTGTGACGACCTACTGCACCGCACTCAGCATAAAGCGTGAACATGATGCAGCATTTCCAACAAACTGCATACATACATCAATAACAACTGCCATCTACGCTCACCCGATACTGACACTGAAGATCAGATGGCCAGAATAATAAGAATAAGCAACAAGGAAGTCACTGTGACTGACAACGAACCAGCCAACCAGTAAGCTATGGGCCAACAAGTATGGATAAGAATAAAGTGGAGATGGATTGGATTGGACATGCACTGAGCGGAGCGTTTGTAGGCATCATGCGTCAGGTGAGGCCGTCGAGTGGAACCATAATTCGAAAGAACGATTTAGACGTCTGAGGGGGAAGTGGTGGATTTGGTGTGAGTACTGGTGGAGCCAGACTGGAGAGAAGAGAGTGAAATGGCAGTGCGCTAGTGAAGGCCTATGTCCCCCTAGGATCCGAAGGAAGTAATAATAATAATAATATAATCCCATCTCCAGCTGCCTACTGAATAACGTTTTAAGCGTTTGACGGATCGGTTATGAATTTAAGTCTCATTGGGAGAAAATATCGCTCACTGGGAGAGAGGTACATCCAGTGGACGAGTGAAGACGAAACGTGTATCCCAGAATTCATTACAAATTATCAAGATGAATATAATCCCGGCGTCTTTAGAACATCAAAACAAGTTATGCCTGGTTGTTATGCACAGTTTCTTCAGCAGAATGCAGTAATAATGATAACAACGAAGCCATAGCAAAATCATAAGCGTCTTCTATGCCAAGCTCACATCAGAAAGGTAATCGTGAATAAACTGGAAGTGTATGCGTCATATATAAGGCATCAAAAATCTATTTTAAACCTTCAAATTCATTAGAAGCGATTTTAGTCAAGAGGGAGAGATGGCACTCCTAAGATTATTATTATTTGTCCATTGGATTCCCAATGGAACATAGGGCTTCAGTAACATGTCTCCATTTCACTCTCTTCTCTCCAGTCTTTTCAACTTGACTTCATGACTGCCCACAACCTCTCATTTCTTCCTCACACCATCTCCTCCATGTCACCCTCACCTCACACACCCAACTCGTCATTTCCCATCTAGGTTCGACTCGAGTGCCTGGTCTGGTGCTCGATGTCCCCAATAGGCCTTCTCAGTGCATGTCAGATCCAATCCATCTCCACTCTCTTCTTATGTATATTTGTTGAGAGATAGCTTCTTCGTTGGTTTTTCGTTAGCCAGCCAGCCAGCCAGCCAGCCAGCCAGCCAGCCAGCCAGCCAGCCAGCCAGCCAGCCAGCCAGCCAGCCAGCCAGCCAGCCAGCCAGCCAGCCAGCCAGCCAGCCAGCCAGCCAGCCAGCCAGCCAGCCAGCCAGCCAGCCAGCCAGCCAGCCAGCCAGCCAGCCAGCCAGCCAGCCAGCCAGCCAGCCAGCCAGCCAGCCAGCCAGCCAGCCAGCCAGCCAGCCAGCCAGCCAGCCAGCCAGCCACACTTCCTTCTTCCTTATTCTTTCTCACCATTTCATCTGATCTTCACTATCAAGACAGTGTAGGTAGCAGCTCTTCATCATGTATGTGTGTGTGCAGTTTGTTGCAAGTGGTTTTCGTGATACGCCAACTTCCTCAACCATCATCACATGGGAGCAAGCACTGAGTTACTTGACTAGACTGGTGTTGAAAATCCGTATCCTGTTCACGCTATATGTTGAGTGGAGTGGAGTGGAGTAGATGTGCACACTAACTGACTTGAGATTAATGCAGGTGAATCACTTATAATATGCAGAATTCACTTCCATTGAGCATGGTAACTTATAAGTGAATTCCCCCCGCCCACCTTAATTCATCCACACTCTCCTGTTGTTTCCATTAAATTATCACCTGAAAGTGAGCCTTATGTAAGTCCTAAACTCATTCACATTATCAATTATTTTCAACTGAATTTCACTAAGTTGGCCAATTCTATGCAGGATGTTATTGGTGCTAGGAAACACCTCCCAGTGTTACGGTTATGCAGCCTCCAGATGCATACTACCAGACTTGCTTCACAACAAACGAGTTTCTGTCAATCTGACAAAAGTCACTCAACTGTGAATCCTTCACAGTGCAGAAACAGTGGCAATCAGGAATAAACAACTCGACTTATATCTTCAGAAAAGGTAAATATCCCCACTACAACTACATCAACCTCATTCACCGTTCACAAATTCCTTAACATCCTACCCATCGTCAACTTCCATATTCTACAGACACCTTAATGTTGATAATCTGGAATAATTTTAGTACATCTTCTTATCCTACACTTTCCATCAAGCTTTCACCTTATACTGAGTGTTAATTCAGTCTTGGAATCATTTACATCACCAATTATTTTCAGTTGAATTCTCATACTACTTAATTCTGACATTCCTCTTTATGCCCAAAGCATTTCTCAATCAGCTTCCTCAACTATTATGAATAAACTATCAAGCAAAAAGTGTCAGGTTGACAGAAGAGGCAGGGCGGCAAAGACAGGACTTCAGGAGAATGTAGAGATGACAGAGGTTATGATGATACACAACCAACAACAACAACAACAAGCACCAATC